CGACAGCAAACCTAAAGTAAACAAGTAGTAAAACACTTTTATTCGACGACCTATCTGATTCATTATTAAATTTAGTGTGTTTGAAGTCTTGTATACGTAACCAGTAAGAGTTTATAGTTTCTAAACTCGTAATCCAATAAATTGAAGCAGAAAATAAGTATTGACTTTATCGATTGGGAATATTTTTTCTCTAAGAAAAGAGGAAAAGAAAAAACACAGAAACTGCCCATTTATCAAATTAGTTATGAATTTCAAGGGAATTGCGGAGAATATATTGCTCTCCACTCTTTTTCTTTTCCTGAGTATTCCATCATTTTCTCCACCAACGAGAAAAGAACCATATCCGTCCTTGAATACGCTGGATTGACAAATCGCCTATTTTTGCTGGACGTTTGTCATGCTTTACAAGAAACCCCAATAAAAAAAAACATGTACCTCTAAATCCAATTCCTGGAAACTAACCCACCTAAACTAACAAATTTTGATTCTCTTTGATGATTTGATTCGGTTGAAAGCGGATCCAAGGTATTTGGATGATTAATCTAATTAAACCGAATCGAAACATTCTTGTGTAAAGACCAGATGACAATTAGTGCCAAAACCCGTTGATGCGTAAATAACAAGAGCAACGGCCGTAAATTGTCCCCAACCTACTGGGTAAATTACAGATAGGGTAATCAACATCTATTCCACGGAGATTTACTGTGTGGGCAACTAAATTGTTGTCGTATTAGATGGAAAGACGTGTAATTTTCGTAAATAGCAACGTTTACCGCAAATGTTTAACCTTTAAAACCACACTGCAAATGACCTGTTATCATGAGCACTTGAAATACATCGGAGCTTTCAAAATAAATTATGTTACGCAGCATTGCGGAGTAGAATAAAAAAAACTTAGAATTCGAGAACATTAAGCGCAATATTGTTGTCTTGGAATTCGCTTTCGTATGTGATGTTATTTAAATTGTTTTCTAAATGGAGATTTTTCAGTTGAGAATATGAGTTCTTTAACCTCTCTATAAGAGTAATAAAAGTATAAAAGATTTTATTATGGATTAAAAAATCTTTCTAATTTTATATTTTTAAATATCGATTTATACAATTTATACGTATTTAGCACAATTCCCGAAATATGTTATAGAGTGTTATACAGCCACTACATTATCACGTCTTGACACATATTCACTTTATGAAGATGATTCACTTTTAGAATTTTAGACTTCAGAAAGTGAGAACGGAATTTGAAATAGGAAAGTACTAAAAATCGATTTAAGTGGACATCAAAACCTCTTATCGAGAGGTATCGAACCCAAAGACACATATTGCCGCATTTACCCCTTGTGCGAGGTGACACAAAAACTATTGGATAACTGACAAACTATGTGTTACGTGAAACTAATGTATTTTAATAGTATATAATTTAGTAGTATATTTATTATTCAAACAAAGAAGAAACTATTAGAAATGTGAAAAAGATACCGAAAAAACAATAAGACTGAATTTACATTATTAATTTTATTAGTTTCTTTTGTATATTCACCAATGAAGATATATAAAGCTTCTTTATAACGGTTGCATATTCTGTTGTACAATGTATTTTTCTAACAATGTGATTAGTTGACTGTCGGCAAAGAAGTTAAAAAGTCCTTGACAATAATATAGTGAGCTCTTAATAGATTGGAAAAAAGCTTTAAGTAGATAGTATATTTTAAAAGTGTCCTCAGTTCTTAGCAGATTGCAAAACAATCTGGAGGAACTGCACTCTTCGTTTTCCCTAAGGACGCAATCCTCGTTTCCTACGTTCCCAAAAGAGATGCTGTTTTTCTGGTATCCCGGGTTCATTCGCACCTAAATTGTTTCATCAGCGCTTGTACTCATCCCTTGATAATCATATATTACTTTTTTTAATTATGAATATTTTATTAATTAATAAACAAATACTTTTTAATACATAGAATTGTATTCATATATACATTGTTAACTGTGTGATGAGTTCAACGAATAATTTTATTTTTTAGAAAGAGTTTTTAAGAACACATGCATTTTTATAATTGAAATTAACGGTACCAACAGCTCTCTTTATCAGAGCCACAGTTGGTCTTGGAATTGAGAATTATGTGTTTTTCACTCCGTTAGCATTTAGTTTATTATTGTATCTGATCCTACCTTGTAACTTTGTTGACATCTCTTTAAAAACTCATTTCGACTAGAGGCTAGTGTGTCTGTTCTTTGTATGATAATCTGATAATGGATAAAATAATAGAAAACCATGACAGAACAGCTGGATTCAAAATGGCAAACACATTCTTCCGGCATCTGCTACGTTGATGATGTTGTTCTTATTGCAAATTCTGAGGACAACCTTTAAAGGTTACTACATTTCAACTAGAAGCAAAAGATTTAAATATGTTCATCATCACTGAGAAGACCAAATGCTTAGTAACATCCAAGAAACCCATAAAATGTAAGCTGGAAATCTATTCCAAGACTATCAAACAGGTAAATCATTCTAAATATTTTGCGGCAGAAATAACGAGTCACGTAGTCTTGTCGGTGAACTCCGTTTGCATAGAGGCAGAGTGAAATAACGTAACTACAAAGAAGTCATCAGCCAAAGCGGAGAGCTGATGCTAAATGTATGCATCTTTCACTGTCTACGAATAAATAACCTTCTCAAATATCAGAGGCCAAGAAGATACCTAATAACAACGAAACAAATTCAATACGACAAAATATCAATATATTTTGTCGACTGTGTTTAGGTTGGAATTGTGGGTAATTGGCTAGTTGGACCAGTATTTCTACCAACTACTTACCGGCGAAGTGTATTGCAACTTTTTGGAAGAACTGTTACATCAGATTCTAGAAAATGTACATTTGGCAATAAAAAATTCAATGTGGTTTATGCACGTTGGAGCTCCAGCACATTTTAGTACGGTTGCTCGTGAGTTGTGGACCTTATTTGTGGCGTGCCCGATCCCCGGACTTAAACTCCCTGGATTTTTTGGGGCTATCTTAAATCTTTAGTTTACATTACTCCAGTGGAAAATGGGGAAGGCTTGCGAGATCGTATAACTGCTGCTTATAATTCAATAAGAAACGATCCTGGAGTTCTTGAAAGGGTTCGGTTTTTCAAAATTATCAAAGAATAAAATATTTTTAGAATAGTTCAAAGAATAACCCCTTGAATTTTTGCCGCATGTTTAATAAACATCCTGTATATACCACATAATCCCGTAATGGTTCTTCTTCTATATGAGAACAACAAAAGTCGAAATCGGAATTACGTGATTTCATAGCTTTTTAGTATTTTTTTGGGATAACAACGTTTTGCATTTAGGATTTCTTTTTACATATTTCATTGATGTAATAGAACTCATTCGACCATTATTTGTCTAAAATCATGTGTTTTGTCGAGTTTGTATCGTTTTCAGAACATTAACTTTTTAATGTGATCTCTAACAACTCTAGCATAATTCAAGCGAAAGTTTAGCAACATAAAGGTCTTCCCAAAAAATGTAAATCTTTCTTATATGAAAGATGTTAGCTTCTATTATATTAAAAGCTTAAAAGGATTTGGTTGATTTGGTAGATTTTTGCAAATAATAATTTTGCAAATGTCTAATCTACTTCTATGATATATCATTGAAGAGAGCAGTAATTTTTCAAGGACCTTTCTATTCCTAAAATTTTGTACGTTTCTCAAGGTTCTAATTTGATGATGGTTTTATATTTAAATATGATCACCCGGACAAGTTTTCATACAATGCTCTAGCAGATATGAATACCTAATGTATATCTTTAAATCTTTTCGAGTCAATTTACCATTTATAATAGTATCATGTTTGATTACATGAAAAGTTTCTCATAACCTCATTCAGCTTGCATTGAAACCACTGATATTGTTCAGTTTACTTATTTGCAGATGTTAGATTTTTCAAATCACTGTCGCTGGTATTTTAGTAATTATAATAGAGTATGACTGTAATTTGTAATCATCCTGTATTGGAAACATTACATAAGAAAGTTTAAAACAATCTGTTAGATGCCCATTCGTTGAATGAACTGTGCATCTCTATTACTAGGTAATAAGTCATTGAAGATGGTGGTAATTAAATTAAGTAATAGAAGTGTATTTTATGTGTAAAACTAACATCTTCGCCAACTGGTCGTTTCAGTTAATGATCATACTTATTAACTCGTGTGATGAAGATGCATGAGAATGATGACATATTCGAAGACACCAAATACTGATAAAAATAGACCCATAAAATAAGATGAAATTTATCAAACTGGTAAACATTTTATTTATTAAAGGCCGAAATGCTGGGTAAATTCAATACGCATATTAATATTCAATATTCATTGCTTCAATTATAAATTCATTCGGTAAAATAGCAAAGACTTACAATTTGTCATCATACGACAAAATATGAGTTATTTCATCATATAGATATTTCATTTCTTGCAACCCTATATTACCCACTTGATATTTACGAACCATAAATACTAAGAAATATATAGATTTTCTCAAAATTTAATAATATATGTGGTGAATTATTGATTGTTTCAGCTTAACACGAGACAATAGCAGTGACTATGTTTACTGTGATGAAGCATGGGCATAAATAAATCGAACGGTTGGAAACATTAATAATATATTGCTGTCCTGAGACCGTTATCTGTACGTTTCACGTCAACAATCCAACAATGTTTAAACCTAATCAATAGTGAAGCTTCGCGCGAAACGGTGGCATACGATTGTCGTATTAGGCACGTTCATTCGACGTAGCCGGATGTTAAAGTCGTTAGAATCGAGGTAATTTGCGAACACGTCAAACGCAAAACGGAAATGTAATCCGAAACGTATAAAGCACGTTGGCGATGTAATGGCAATGAATCACACGTAGCTGCGGGTTAGATTTAAAAAAATAGTTGCAAGCTTAAAATTTTTTTTTGTGGAAAACAAAAATTTAAAAAAAACAAAATTCTCAACTTACGGTGCAGTGCTTAAGGGGCTGAAATTGAAAAAAGCTGTGAGTTTAAAGTGCACTATATAAAGGTAATAAATAATAAATTACATCGCTTTACAAAAAAAATAAAAAACTATTTTCAAATATTTTTATTGGGGAATATGCTAAGTATATAAATTTGTTCTCTTAGTAATGTACTTGAGTCTAGAGAAGCATATTCAAGGCATTGTTGTTTCGAACAATAAGGGTCCTTCAAAGTTCAAACAACAGCTGAAACCAAGGATATTCTGTACAGCAGCAATAAGGGATCTATCAATAAGGAATTAAGCTTGATATGGTAATATACAATGTACTTATTGGATAATATACAATGTAATACATCTAAAATCAAAATAAGTTAATTTTAATTAATTTGAACTCAAACAGAAGTTCAAGTTAGGTATTTTTTACTCAAGTTTAAGGAAAAACAAGAAAACTTTTCCAAGTTTCAGTTGGCCCCGAAGCAACTAAGAAACTAAACTAGAATCCAATAGAATGAAAAAATTGCGACGACCTCGGCAGCTTTAAACGGCTGTAACCCATTGTCTCGTCTTGAAATAATTGTTCCCCTGCAGCTTCCTTCCGAATTCCGTAGCACAGTTGCCAACGAACGCTAGAAAGTCCCGGGTCGGCCCGGTGCCAGAGCACGTTTCGGTAATTGATTAAACCGGAAGCGTAGTATCGACCGGGTAAAATACCGACCGGAAGTAGAGAGATACGCCATCTCCCGACGGGTTGCAAGACGAGCGAGTTCGAACGTGAAAATTCGATGGCGCCACCGAATAAACACCATCCACAACTTTTCTTTATCCATTGAAAAGATGTCGTGAAATTGTTTTCACGATTGAGATGAACGAATTGATACGAAATCGTTACGTGATCAATAGAAGGAAGACTTCGAAAGGTTTGTGTAGCGGCGATGAATACTGATGAAGTGAATCACGGAATTGAAATCATTCTACACGGTGAAATAAAGAGATTTGGATTTATCTTACCATATGACCTTAATTTTAGATATGTTGATACATTTTAAAGGAGTTATAAATCTTGGAAACTTACCTGAAAAAGAAAGAAAAAAAATATTAGAAATTATATTAAAGCGTCATAATATTATATTTATGTAATATTATGATTTAAAAGGATTTTAAAATTTTGTATTTAATTAATACGTTTATGTTTGCTTAAACAAAAAAGAATTAAAAGAATTTTAACGAAATTAATTAAGCCAACAGATTTTTCAATTGCGTTCTTTTATTAATATTCTTCTCAAAAGGATTGTTCCTTTACAAATATTCTTTGGGATTTTAAAGTTGGAACAATTTCAGTTATTGTAGATTCTTTTCACTACAATAACTTTAGTTAAACGTATAAAATAAATGTTAAATAGGCATAAAATAAAAAATAAATTTAAACACCAAATAAAGAAAGCAAACTTTTCTAAAGTTTCCCCACGCAATGATTAAAGAAGAAAATTCTGGTGTAGGAACTAATTTAATCAGACTTTTAAATAATTTCATTGAGATAATTTCCTTAAACATGTTTTCACATCTTATAAACCTCTTTAATTTCATGATCGGAAATATTGATAATGAACTAAACTTATAACGAATTTCCTGATTAAACTGACAAAACGGAATATTTATAAATTACGTATCCCTTCCCCTATCTCCCGAAGGTGTAACTATGTTTTATGAAAATAGAGTTAAAAAGTTTTATATAAAAATTAACACTTTAAAATAGAAAACCACAACATATACAACTTTTCAACGTTATGGTTATAACGTCGTATGAAACGTTATTACGAGGATTGAATTTGCGTACACGAAAACATAAATATAAAAAGCGGAAGAACTGGTAGGAATAATAAAACGAATTGATATATTAAAAATTATATACATTTTTTTAAATTATAATAAATTATATGTTAAAAATTGTCAAAATCACATTAACAACGACTAAACTGTCTATGAGAGACCAGACAGATCAAAATAACAAAATCAAATTATTTACCGCGTTTGAGTATCTTCAAGAATAACCTATTATTATTGAATTCAGTAAATTTATTGAGGATAACCCAATATACCCCAAACAGATCTAAAGTTTTTGATCTTTTCAAAGTTTTAATAAGCATTACATATATGATATTTGTCAGTAGTACATCATACTTATAAAACTTAAATTTTGAGGAAAATCGAAGATGTATTTTTAATTCTTCTTTAATCTTTGTTTCAAATTGCGGCTCGTTTGGCCGTTTTTAGATTCAATTCTCTATGTAACGCTTTTTTCACTATTCAAAAATCTATGGCAATAATTTACGATGAACACATTTCTTGAAAGTGTACCTATGATCTAAAAAGTTAATATTTTTTTGTTTTTCTACTTCAATAGTGAACTGTAGTGGATTGGTGTTATTAAAAATATTGTTCAATGCTTTGAGTTTTGCAGCATTTCCAATATTAAATGATGAAGATGTTTTTACATATCGTATATAGAATACTTTATACCTATACTTAAGATTTTGAGTAGGTACATGTTTCGGAAGTGGAATATAAAAATAATTAACAATTCTCTTTGCTTCCGGTATTATTTATTTAATTTAATTGACAGGACTAATTTCGGAACATTAGGTCCATCAGCTGTTTTCTACAAAGCGATACAAAACATATTAATTGTATCACTTTGTAGAATACCGAAATTATAGAATACCGGAAGCAAAGTGTTTTCTTAATTAATTGGTAATTATTTTTATTGCTAAGATATCTATACTATGTATATACAATTATCTAAAATTGATAGTAAATTTTCGGCTTTATCCGGTGATCTATAATATTAATCTATCACTAGATTATAAAAGTATCCCCTTCCTGTAAAGTTATGAAAACAGTATATAATTCCCGTATTGAAATATTTACGGATGCGACGCCGTACTGTACCTTATACCTAAGATAATAAATATAGCAAATTATACCCGATATAACGGCTATATTAATAGATTTTGTTATAAATGCATTACCATATAGACTATTAATATCAAATTATATTAATTTGGAATATTTATCAAGCCTCAGATCTTTAAGTTTACATTAAGGTTGAATGAAAAAACAATCTGTGAATTAATTTCGACACCATTTCAAGAGTTTATACTTATGATGAACATAGAGAAAACTATTGCATATTTAGATGTTCCATATGCTCCACTTTGGAGCAATTCTTCTGACAATAAATATTAAAAGTGTCCAAACGATGCAAAACAGTTTGTAAATTGGTTGAACAAGAAGTTTTATAGAAATATAAATAAGGAAAGAATATAATGTAATAACTTGTAACAGAACACATTAAACTTAATGGTTAATGTTAAGGCTAAAGATAATTTTAAAGGAATTTCAATATTACAAAAATAAATATAGAAACCAAGAATAAATGTAAGTTTTATTTCACAAAATCTTTTTAACTCAAATCAGTATTTCTAATTACAACTTAACCCATTTGCATTATTGAGAAGAAATGAGAAATAGGCCCATATCACCAAACTTGTTTATTATATACAGGTGCTTAAATTATAATTATAATACATTCACGAGCGACAAGAAATGAAAAGAAGATGAAATTTACAGAAATTGAAGCAGAACAACAGAGAAGTTTGTTTGTGCAGACACCAGTACTACCAAGAATTTATGGATTACTTAAAATCCATAAACTAAATGTTATCAGAGCCATAAAATCTCCAGCGTACCAGTCGGCGAAACACCTTGTAAGGATTCTTCTCCTTTTACAAGTGAAACAAAATCGTTTGTTAGAGATTCTACACATTTTGTGGAATCAATCCAAAGTATGAAGTTAGGTTATCGTGATAAGTTTCGATGTGTAACCTCCATTTATCAGAGTACCAATCAAAGATGCCGTGGATGGTTATCACCAGAAACTCATTTCGGAGGGATAACCGAAATATATTCCAGGGCTAGTTTATCATCGATACAGTGTGAAATTATACATATAATTTCGCCAGTAAGGTCATGTTTAGAAGCAGGGAATAACGAAGGATGAGCCTCAACTCAAAAGAGGAACCCTGCCTGGTACACCGATGATTTAAAGACAGTTGGATCCGAAGTGAGGAGATCAGCGGACCAAAAAGCGGCATTGAGATGCCTTTAAGCTCGGATACAATCATTTGTCGGGCCGCCCTAAAAGTAGTTTAGGCCTACACGTGTGAATCCGCACTGGTTAAAGATATACAGGCAAACAAGAAAATTCGCCAGGAGTAATGAACTTACCATAAGGTGGGTTCCAGGTCACAAATAGGTACATTGTGGACCAAGCTGGCCCAAGAGGCAGCGATGATATTGGACCCCCAACCCGGCTGTGGACTACAAAAAAGCCACTTAGAGCAGGTGAACACATGAGAGGACTCAAAGGTACCTTTACGCCCAGGACACAGACAGGCAAAGAGTATGATAACTCCGTCGCAAAAAAAAACCAAAGAGGTTTTATGTTTCAACAAAGGGGACTTTAGGTCGCTCTCAGGATTCCTGACCGGCCATATGCACTAAAATACCATCTCCTCAATATTGGACAAGCTGAGGATCCAACTTGTCAACTGTGCAACGACAAGTCAGACACTGCTAAACATATTCTGTGTGACTGCGTCACCACAGCTCGCTTAAGACATAAACTTTTCCTAGATTTGCCCTAAATTTTGGAGAGCTGAAGTTACCTTTCATGGATGTTTTGATCACTGAGAACCAGAAACATTCGATTTTAGCTGTGAGTCGTTTTGAGTGACGCACGGCTAAACCTGCTAAACCGGTTAGTTCTAGTTTCAGTTATTTTTCAAAGGCAGATTTTTCTATAATTTTACTAAACTAGCAATAGAACTAACCTAGAAATAGGAATATTCGTGTTTACTCGTCTTGAAAGATGCACGGCTAAACTTGAATTTTTCTAATTGTAGATCTAGTGTAAATTCTAGAGATAGTGTTAAGTTAATTCTAGTTTTAGTTGATATTCAG